TCTTCCACTGAGCCTGCCTGTCTGCACCTGATCCTGTCTGCTCCTGTGCGTGACCACCTGGTCATGCTTCTGGTACCAGTCAGACTCCCTCCTTGGGAACCTGTGGATGGCGGTGCCCCGCTCCCCTTCCTGCAGTGCCCGCAAGCCACAGCCCCACTTTAGTTTTTGTTTTATTTTAATTAAAGCTTTTGAACTTTCCTACTGACTGTCTCTCCTTGAGTACTGGGTCCCTCTGTCCGCGTTTCCTGACAGATTTTATTCGTCATTTTTTCTGGTTCTTCATTTTATTATACATTGTCTGTACATTTCAGTTTGATGTTCACCTGTGTCATGCATAAACACAACTTGAGTTACAACCTTCAGTGTGTTTTTTGTTCCCTGTTTTTGTACATGTTTGGAAGTGCTGGCTCCAGCAGTTTTTTTTTACCTTTGGCACTGATGACATTTCTCCTTATGGTGAACCAACAGAGAAGAAATGTGCTGAACTGAAGATGGCTTTGCCACTTTTTTTCTACAACCGGACACCAATTTTGTTTTCGTTTAATGAATTTTAGAAAGCCACTTCTTTCCAAGTCAGCTCTTGACCGTCATCGGTCTGAAGGGATCATTTTAAAGGTTGAAGGGCACTTCCCCCTAGCTCTTAAACTTATTGGGACACACTACACTGCAAAAAAATGAGATCTAAATAAGTCATTTCTTCTTAAAATAAGTGCATTTTTTCTTGAATTAAGGATTTAAGTGAGACACTTTGCCAAATGGAACAAGACAATTTTCACTTAAAATAAGAAAAAAACAATTGCATTGTCCTTTTTCAAGTGCATTTTATTTAGATACCTTATTTTAAGAGTAAAAATATTCATTCCTTTGGCAAATCATCTTATTTATCTGCTCAAATTAAGGGTAAATACCCTTAATTTAAGACATTTTTACTCATTTTGAGATCATTTTTGCAGTGACGTTCGTGCAACACTGAGTGCTAGGTCCCAAAACGAGTGCGATTGATAGAAATGGGACAGGGCCTTAAACTAGCACAGGTTAGCCTAGTAGTGATGTGGGATGGGCTCACCCTCTGTTGTGATCCTGACTATCTCTTCATTCAGAAGGTCCACATTCTCTTCCAGCTGTCTTTTCTTGTGTTCCACGTTCTGGAGGCTGTCTGTCAGGGACTTGATCTTAGCCTCATGCTGGACACCAGCAGGAGAGGAGAAAACAAACAGCATCCATGAATGTTTGCCTTAAACTCACATGAAGGATGTCCACTCCTTAAACTGCTGTTTGATGATCTGAACAGAGCATCCGTCACCGTAGCGACGGCCTACTTATGGATGCATTCAGCAGCAGTTACCTGGGAGATGCGGAGCTGGCAGGCTGTCAGATCTCGCTCCGTCTCCTCCAGCTTCTGGCTGCTCTCGGTCTGGCTGCTCTCCAGCTGTTTGTTGCGCTTCACCATGGACTTCACCTCCGCCTTCATCTTGCTGATGTAGAGCCGGGCCACAGTGAACTCCTCATCAATCAGGCCGCTGCTCTCCTGTTGCTGAGTGGTTCAGAAACAGTAGATTGGTGCTTTGGTTTGGGGGGGGGATCATAAATGATATGACCTCTGATGACTCTGGTATTTTGGTTCCTTAATCTACTGAAACATTTGAGGTTTTAGATCAATTATAAAATTGAAAACATAAATGTAATTTGACATTTGATGATCACTTTTTAAACAGTTATAAAAACTTGTTCTCCCCATACTTGAAGTTTTTTCTTATTAAGAAACGCATTCATGTCTGACATCTTGGAAGTGAGTTACAACCATTTTCATCTCTTGTTTTCTTACTTCAGTGTTTTTTGAACAAATGTGAATAATGTTGTATTGTGTTATGTTGTTGAAACCTTTTTGCAGCAGATGATTCACCATTTTACGGAAGAGGATTAGGGCCACTGG